TCTCTCTCTCTCTCTCTCTCTCTCTCTCTCTCTCTCTCTCTCTCTCTTTCTCTCGATGCCCATCATTCTCAAGCTAAGGGGCAAAACAAACCTTTCATCCCTAGAGTGTTTTACTCAAAGGATTTTGTTAAAGGGGATGGACAAATAATTTAGGTGCCATTTCCATGGACAGCTACTGCTTATTCTTATGCCTCTGAAAGAGGAAAATCAGAGAAATCTTCCATTTTCCTTGTCCTTATAGAGTTCTTTCCTACTCTCTCACACTCCGAGGCACAGGGTGTAACATGAGCACTTCTGGGACTCTCTCCAACTGCCCTGTCCAAGGTTTTTATATAATTCACCTGTAACCTGGATCAGATCTAATCCAAATGGATCACCCACAGGTAAAAGTATGTAGTACAGAGAGTGGCTCACCTAGTCCTGCCTAAATCAGGTGAAGCCACACTGGATCATCCAACATGGGCCTCGGCTTTCCTCTAGTTCATGTTATTCAGTGAGAGCCAAAGTGACTGTTAGGTACATTGGTACTCTTTAGGGTTGTATTCCTACTGATGAGATACACATTAGCATTTTTTCACTTATTAAAAATATGCTAAATCTATTCACATTTTTCAGAGGGCACACAGGATAATCAACTACTACAGATAACTGAAGCAAATCCTCAGTATTTACACTACCTTTTTTCCTTGGTTGTGATGGTTCTTTCAAAGTAATTGGAGGAACTGGAGGTTCCTTCCAAGGACGTGGGCTCTTCTTATGAAATCTTTTTAAGATTGAAGAAACTGAGGATACATTCACAACAGGGAGAGTTATGTTAGCTTTATGGCAGCAAAACAGAAAATTCATCATGGTTGTGCGTTTGTAACTATGATCTCATTTCCTGTCTCCAGGTAGTCGTCAGAGTCAGACGGTGCTTCAGGAAGGTCACCGCCTTGTGTGATGAAGCATTCCACAGACACCTTAGGTAATGTCTACATGTATGTGGCTGTGACAACAGAAAGAGCAGCAGGACTGGAACGTGTTATATGGACATGGTACCAGACGGGAGTCACATCCTTCTGAGAAACACATGAACACAACCTTGTTCATACAATCCCTCTCTTCTCCCTGATTTCGCTCAAACAATAGAAGGTTCAGAAAGACTTCCCATGAGACTTTCAGGTTTGAAAGATGACTCTACATGGTAAACCATAAGGAAAGGCTCATGCACAGCACAAATGCTCTTTGTTTGATAAATGCAAGATCTTTGTCAGAAATGCTGTTTGTTAGGTACCAGAGGACTTCAGCTAGACTCTGGTAACTGAATTCAGAGTGAGTATTCCACTGGATCCAGGACAGGGAACATGTTTGTTGTTGACTTTTCATTTTTTATTTAATCATGGTATTTACAAGTCATGGAGAACATGTGGTATTGTCTTAGATGAGCTGGGAAATATAGAATATTGTATGACCTCTTATTTTCCACCTTTGGATACCATATTAGTTATAGTCTTTTCATTGTATTCAAATTCTGACAGAAGCCTTTTGAGAGAGAGAGACAGAGAGACAGAGAGAGACAGAGAGAGAGAGGAAAGAAAGAGAGAGAGAGAGTCTCTATCTTTCAATCCCTGACTCAAAATTGTACTTTGATCCATAAGTAAAGAGCCCTGGCTTAGTACAAATATGTGGCATTCCTTCTGCATCTTCACCTTGTCACATGTCTTCCAGTGAACAATCTGGACCACTAGGGATTATAGATTCTTCTGTATTTCTCAGAAATACTTAGACGCCAAATCATATTAAGTCAAGTTGTCCCATTAGATGGTATGGCAGAACAAAAATTCTTATATTGGCCAAACCCTGATGTCTTCAACCTGAGCAGGCAAGAAAGGTGGTCTGGCATTTGGATGATATGTATGCATGTGGCTTTCTAGATGACAAACATCCTCAGCCACTATGTGCAGCAGCCATACTAAGTGTAGCTGGAATGGCAGTGTGGGACATTAATGGTACACTAAGTATATACCATCCCTGCTTTATTCTAACTCATCAAAGTCCAGTTTCTAAAAACTCCTCTTCAAGGGGGGCATTTGCTGCAAGCGCACTCTCTACATGTGCTTTTTTTAATTTTCAGAAATTAGGCTTAAAATACCTATTTATAAAAGGATGAGTTTGAATTTATGATTCTCTTCACTCCAGTTCAGGAGAACTGTGTTTACACAAATGTGCCCCCATAGGTGCCTATTAGAGACAGTGGTATCAAAACTAGGACCTTTCACATGCTAGGAACACACTAAACCAACTGGACTAGTCATTCTGCCCATATTAGCTCTCTGTGACAAATTCTTTTTATGTCAAAGGTCTGACTGTGAAGGCACTTTAACACATCCAACATCCCAGCCAAACTCTTTCTATGTAACTCATAGCTGTCTATATGGTTCCACTGAGCACTCAGACTCAGCAGGCAGTATGAAGACTGACCAGTAGTGAGAGAAGTAATACTGGAACTCAAATTTGAGCTTACCTTTAAAGATGCATATGTAGCAAAAAGAATGATCCAGCACTGCTCAATAACCAAGTGCCAACAACTATGTAGTCACTGCCTGGTGCACAAAATCCTCCCCAAACTAAAGGCATTAGAGTTGAATGCAGTTATTGTAGACACAGGGCCATGACCGGGTTACTTAGGGTATCGTGTTTTACCCTTTAAATTCCCAAGTTTCACTCCCAATAGAGATCTTATATCATAGTAGTGTACCAGACAAAAGACAGCTAGTATTTATACAATTCTTATCTACAATGTGTGTTGAGAAAGAAATTCTATGATACATACAACATTTGAATCTTTTATGCTCCACCTGTAACTGAAAGGAAAGAAAACATTTTGAGGCTCAGGTCATGCTGAGTTCTGTCTCCATAGTTCTTTGGTTCACCCTGTGTCACAGCACAGTGTAAAGTAGAATAGGAAAAAGACAGAAAAGGACTTGTATAATACTTTATAGGATGATGTCATGGAGAACCCAGGCTATGTACTTTGTGACAAAAACTAAAATGTGCACCCTTATGTTGACTCAAAGTAAGATCAGAGCACCTTTTGCTGGCAGACCAACTTAATAACATGTTTTGTAAGATCAATCCCTCTATGGGGGAGGGACCCTCTAATTATTTGCATGGATGCTCAGGTTTTCAATGGAATATACCCTCAGGATTCAAATATTCGAGGCATGAAGCTTTCCACTACATAGTTTTGG